ATCAACAGGGAGCAAAGAGGACAGTGTCAGTACAGCAGCACACTGTGGGATCTACAAGGGGAAAGACTGCAACACATAGCAAGCTTTCCAAAGATAGCACTGAGCTACATCCTTTATCCTTAATCCAGGAGATCTTCTGAGATGCTAGCAGGGCTGGTAGTGCCTGCAGGCTGGGGAGCTGGGAGCAGCTTCGTAGGGGGAAGAGAAGTGAAGTGATTTTTTTTTTTCTTTGAGGGGCTGCTAGTTCCTTGCCTGTAGAGGGCGCTGCTATTGATCCACATTGACTGACGGCTTTCAAGAAAAGAACAGTCAGGATCTGATTTGTACCTAGAAGAGAAGTATACCTCTTCCATTGTCTCAAGCCAAATTGGGCATCCCACAATCCCTATTACCCTATCCAAGTTAAAATCCCCTAATAAAACAACAAAACCAAGTTCATGGACTGGTCACTGTCTTTGGATGCAAGTCTGTGTGAGAAATACCTGTTTCCTGGCGGTGCGGAGGGAAGCTCAGAGATATACAGAACACAGTGGCCCTCACAAGGGTAGTGCTATACAAGAGAATACAGAAGGCGGATATCAAGAGAAAGTCATGTACTTATGTTTATTTCCTATGTTATGTATTTTTTTAATGTATTTTATAAGGATCATTAACTTTGAAAATGTATAAATAAAGAGTAACTAATCAGTCAAGATAGAAATAGTTGTTACAGCTGACTTTTTGAACGTGCAGGCTCTCAGGCAATTAAACGTATTCCACCTTAATTTCTTATTCAACTGAAACAAACATAAAGGCAGAAAAGTGTGGAGAGAGGGAGAGAGAGAGAGAGAGAGGGAGAGTTAACCTTTCAGGTTAGGCATTCAACAACAGCTTCTGGTAGTTACAGGTCTAGTTTTATGACAGCTTAGAAATTAGGGACTAAGATGCAGAGTAGATAGGCTTTGAGTTTCAGTGCCACACAACAGTTTTTGTCGGTTAGAAGCTGCATTCCAGGCTGGTCAGACAAAGGTTGTAGAATCTACCCATCATCTCCGATCTCCTATTTAGGTCCAAAACAACAGACAGCGCCACTGCAACTGAACTTTGCTGCAATATTTATCTGAAGGTTTTAAAATAACTATATATACCCAGATATAAGTGCACAATTCCACCAAACCCTTATTGGGTCCTTTGCTGATATTACCTGTTTGTACATTGAATGTATGTACTATTATTAATCTTTTCTCACTGTGTATAAAGCTTGCATTATTTCCACACAAGTATGCATTATTTATATACTCATGGTCAATGTTATATGCTGGTTGCAGTAGTTCCGCTGCTTCTAATTACTTTGATTAGATTACTGGTTAATTTCTCAGGAAGGGAATCCCATCTGTTGACAGAGGCCCTGTCCTGAGAGGAGACACTTTCAACTTTATTATCCAACACACTCTTCCACTTAGTGAAGCTTCTGGTTCTCTTATTTACCTACAAGTTTAGTGCAATATTCTGTTTGAGAAGGGACATTTCTCATACCATCCCTCAAAAGAGGGCCACATCTGTCCTATCAAGTAATAAAGTAGGATAAGGAGTGTCGCAAACGTGTGCAACACACAGTGAAGGACGCAGACTCCATTTTGTTAAGAGTATCCATTTCTCCCTTATTCTTCCCTCCCCATCCCTCTCTGAGAGGAGACATTTGGCCAGCGTGTGGGTGTGTGCTGGTTGTGGGTCACTGGCAGGCCAAGGCATCTCTGAGCTAGGTGCCTAGCTGTCTCGGAAAGCTGTACCATTTCACACCTCAGAAGAGATAAGGCAAGCTTTCTCTGGAATTGAGAGAGATTTCACCCTAATAAAACCTACTCAGCGTAGGTGACAGAGGTGTCCTTTTATGACACAGAGAATAGCTGCAATTTAACGGATCTCAGCTATTCTCTGGTCATTCACAGTTTATGACACTCAGGAGATCATGTCAGCCCTTCGCTGGAGATCTGTGTTCTCCCTCCAGATTCTCCAGCCCAGAGCTGGAGAATCAGAGGGACCGCAAACTAAGCAGAGATAATTTACCTCTGCTTAGTAAACTGATCTTTTACTGTAATCTCTCGAGATTATAGTAAAATCAGCCGTTTTCCAGAGTTTGTAGACCGTTCTCCAGCGTTTGGAGACCGTTCTCCCTTCGTTTGGAGAACTGCTTCATAAACTGCATTCACAGGAGAACTGTGTTCTCCGAGAATGCCGGAGAACTGAACAGCGATCTATTACCGCTGGTTCATAAAAGGACACCAGAATCAGATAACCTCTGTTAAAACCAGGTTTTCCCCTATGTCTCATATCTTGGAATATGAGAGACTTACATAAAAGCCGGACATATCATCAGATGGACGATGAGAGCAGGCGAACAGTTTGATGGGTCACTCGCCTTGTCTCAGACGCACAGGAAAGCAGAAAAATAGATCTTGCGAACCGTTTAGCATACTTTCATAATTCATATCTAATCAACCATCAGACTTGTCTGCATAATAATCTACCTGCAGGTGGGATGTCACTTGTGCATAGGAAAAGTTATAGGCCAAATATGAGTTATGGGAGATTTTTGCTCTAGTTGAAACATCCACCCATCTCTCCCCGCCCTAAGCGGAGATTGGTCCTTGACTGCAGAGCCACCCCCTTCTGGGGACTACAAAACCGGCTGTCAGGCCTAAGATAAGTTAAGTTGAAGACGTCTCCCATTTTAACATCAATACCACCTGGGAAGACCCTTGCCCTTTCGCTTTGAAACTTGGATCTGCTAACCCAGGAATTTGGCAAGTACCTTAACCCTTTCACCTCTCTCTGATATCTCTTTGCTGTGCTGTTATTCCCTGTATATGTACATATATATCTTAGTTACATCTTTTTTTCTGTTAATATTTTTATTGCACCCGTTTGACCTTTTAGTAATAAATCTTTCTTTCTGAAAGTGTTGAACTGTTTCTATAGATCTGTATTGCAATTTACGAATCCCTGCCTCTAAAGTGAATGCTACTGTTTGTTTAACCCTCTGTATAACAGGCCTATGTTATGACCATTTTATACAGACGATTATCTCAATCATTATAGTGTTATAGCTGATAATGCCGAGTTTCCTCTTTCTCTGTACAAAAAAGAGGTGGTGGCAGTGTGAAGGGTTAATTGCGTAATTAACCTGACCCAGTAACAATCGCCCAGGCTGCCGGTACATTGATTGTGGTCCGTTAGCTGGAAAATCGTTATGCAGGGTGCAGCTGGGTGTGGCATTGTTACGCACGTCACATCACGGTTTTAGATCGGCTAGTCCTTCGATCACGAGTTTGGGTGAGAAGGTCTGGGGTTTGACGCCGCGGTTGTGACATATTGGTGGCAGCGATCGTGGGATCGTGACAAGGAGCACTCTTTATACTCCCACAACTCCCACAAATCTATCCTGACAGAAGTTTTGTAGACTCTTTCAGAAGACATAGCCTGCCTGCCTGCCAAGAGACTCTAATTTTCATCTTAGCACTACCTCATTCAGTTGCCTGCCCTTCTGGTTGCATTCAGTACCTAGGGCCGATGTTGTATGCATATATATACAATATGCTGTATATATATATATACAGTATATAGTATATATACTGTTTATATACACTGATCATCAATAATTTTATGACCACTGACAGATAAAATTAATAACTCATTATTTTATTACAATGGCACCTGAATGTGGGTGGGATATGTTAGGCAGCGGTGAACATATTGTTTCTGAAGTTGATGTGTTGAATTACAATGGCACCTAAATGTGGGTGGCATATGTTAGGCAGCAGTGAACATGCTGTTTCTGAAGTTGATGTGTTGAAAGCAGAAAAAATGGCCAAGCTTAAAGGTTTGAGTGACTTGGACAAGGGCCAAATTGTAATGACTGGACGACTGGGCCAGAGTAACTAAAAAAAATTCTTATGGGATGTTCCTGGTCTGCAGTGTTCAGAACCTACCAAAATGGTCCAAAAAAGGAAAACTGGCAAACCAGCAACAGGGTCATGGGTGGCCAAGGCTCACTGATGCACTTGGGAAGCGAAGGCTGGCCCATGTAGTTCCGATAGAAGAACTACTGTAGCTCTGGAAGGAGGTGGCCAAAAAGAGCAAAGTGTGCAGGGTAAATGTAATGGATGTATAAACGTTTATTAAAGGAACACAATTAGCAACTCACATAAAGTAAAATTAATTATGCTTATCATGGTTCTCAAAAAGATTCCCAGCTGGGGAGGACACCGAAGAAACAGTCACACTACACTGGATATGGTCTTGATGCAATAACTAAGACAGACCACAAAGGAGCGCCAATCTAAGTGCAGCAATCTGCAGCTGGGAAGAGAAGACATCCAGTATCCCAAGATGGAGCTGCTGCTGCTATATAGGGTGGAGTGTGGTAGCTGGGGTAACTAGGCAGCCTCAGGACAGGAAACAGGAAGCAGCATGTGTTGATCAAGGCAGCGCAGACAAGGACAGGAAGTGATGAAAGAGGAAGTGACATCAGGGGGCATGGCTACATGTTTTGAGGCTCATGTTTTTTTTTCAAGCCAGCTGCCTGGTTACCCTGAATACCACACTCCACCCCTTGCAGCAGCAACTCCATCTTGGGATCATGGATGCCTCCTCCTCCCAGCTGCAGATGCACCAATGACTGTAATGCATGAGTTCATCCACACATTGTGAGTTGCCAAATATTGTGTGCTGTGTCCGCCTATCCAACTTGCTGCACTTAGATTGGCACCCCCGTGATGTCCCTCCTAGCTACTGAAGGTGCCATCTAAACCATTTACAGTGTATCCAGTGTGACATTATCTTTGGTGTCCTCCCCAGCTGTGAATCTTTTTAAGAACCATGATAAGAATTAGAGATGAGCGAAGTATTCAAAAATTCGATTCGGTTGATTCGACGAATTCGAGGAATAAATTTGATTCGAGGCGAATATATTCGCTGCGAATTTAACTTATAAAAGGGTGTTTCTAGGCTTCAGAGAGCCTTTATATTAGTGCAGAACACTGTACCTTTAATTTAAATGCCCTTGGAGTCTGCTGGGGAAGAGAAATAATACTGTCAGTCAGTATGACATGCAGATGAGTGCCGTCGATCTTAGAATCACCGCACACTTCACTCATTTGGACAGTCACGGGGCCAAAACCAGAGTGTGGAGCCACAGTGTGGCGGTGGAGGCAGCAGCAATGGGAGGCCATACAGCACCCTATGACAAAAATGGAACCCACCAGCAGTGTGAGGAGACCTGAAAGTGGCACGTGGCAGAGTGTGGCGATGGAGACAGCAGCAATGGGAGGCCGTACAGGGACCCATGACACACTCTGGACCTGGCAGCAGCATGAGGAGGCGGTACAGGGGCCCATAACACATTACAGGCCTGGCAGCAGCATGAGGAGTCGGTACGGGGGCCCATGGCAGATTACGGGCCTGGCAGCAGCAATGTGAGGCCATACAGCACCCTATGACAAAATGGAACCCACCAGCAGTGTGAGGAGACCTGAAAGTGGCACATGGCAGAGTGTGGCGATGGAGACAGCAGCAATGGGAGGCCGTACAGGGACCCATGACACACTCTGGACCTGGCAGCAGCATGAGGAGGCGGTACGGGGGCCCATGGTAGATTACGGGCCTGGCAGCAGCAATGGGAGGCCCGTAATCTGCCAGCACCCTATGACAAATGGAACCCACCAGCAGTGTGAGGAGACCTGAAAGTGGCACATGGCAGAGTGTGGCGATGGAGACAGCAGCAATGGGAGGCCGTACAGGGACCCATGAGACACTCTGGACCTGGCAGCAGCATGAGGAGGCGGTACGGGGGCCCATGGCAGATTACGGGCCTGGCAGCAGCAATGGGTGGCCCTAATCTGCCAGCACCCTATGACAAAATGGAACCCACCAGCAGTGTGAGGAGACCTGAAAGTGGCACATGTTTGGGGCATGATTCATGGCGGATTTAGTCAGTTGTGTCAGGAACTGGTGGTTTGAAATCCAGACTAATCCACGCCTGATTCATTTTCACAAACGTGAGTCTCTCCACACTTTGGGTGGACAGTCGTGTCCTCCGCGGAGTTACAATACCTCCTGCCGCACTAAACACGCGCTCCGATGCCACGCTACTGGCCAGGCATGACAGCTTTTCAAGGGCAAATTCAGCTAGTTGGGGCCAAAGGTCAAGTTTCGTTGCCCAGTAGTCAAGGGGATTGTCTACCTCGGTTGGCAGGGTGCTGTCCAAGTAGGCCCAAGCCTGTTGTTTGAGGTCCTGCTCCAGGTTCACCTGATGCTGCTGCCGCTGCGGCTGGTTAGTAGTTTCCTCACTGCGCTGGTGAAGAAAGCTACTCATCATCGACTGCAGACTGAGGCAGCCGCTGCTGGTGGAGCTGCCACTGCTCCTACCACCCCACCCCTCCCCTGCTGCCATGGCAGCGGAACGCGAGCGCACAGGGCCCACAGTGTCTGAGGATGGACGTTGGCGCAGAAAGGCAGAGACCAACTGACTACATAGGTGGTTTTTATAGTACTTTATTTTGGCCTCCCTCTCAGCAGGTGTGAAAAAGGCCACCATTTTTGAACGGTAGTGAGGGTCCAACAAGGTGGACAGCCAAAAGTCATCCCTCTGTCTGATGGTTATTATTCGGCTGTCGCTACGCAAGCAACCGAGCATGCTATGGGCCATTTGTGCCAAGGAATGCGAGGGGACTCCCTGCCTCCATCTCCACAGCATACTGCCACGGTGCGTCTGGGTCCTCTGTCTCCTCCTCCTCCTCCTCTACCAGATGCTCCTGCTCCTCCACTCCTGTCCGCTGAGTGGAAAAACCACCCATTTCACTCAATAATTCCTGAGCACCAATGTCCTCCTCTACCTCCTCCTCTTCTTCCTGTCCTGCCCCCACAGGGTCATGTGGCGTTGAGATCTGTGCGCCACGTCTACCGCACCCTGACCAGCCCTTGTTAACAGCATTTGTTCCAGGACGTGCAACAGAGGAATGACGTCATTCATCCCATAGTCCTGCCGACTCACGAATAGCGTGGCCTCCTCAAAGGGCCTGAGCAAGCGGCAGGTGTCACGCATGAGCTGCCAATGGCTGACATCTAAGTTACACAGGGGAGTACCTTTATCCGCTTGTAACATCAGGAAATCTGTGATGGCCTTTCGCTGTTCGTAAAGGCGGTCTAACATATGTAGGGTTGAATTCCACCTTGTTGCAACGTCACAGCATGAGGAGTCGGTACGGGGGCCCATGGAAGATTACGGGCCTGGCAGCAGCAATGGGAGGCCCGTAATCTGCCAGCACCCTATGACAAAATGGACAGCACCAGCAGTGTGAGGAGACCTGAAAGTGGCACATGGCAGAGTGTGGCGATGGAGACAGCAGCAATGGGAGGCCGTACAGGGACCCATGAGACACTGTGGACCTGGCAGCAGCATGAGGAGGCGGTACGGGGGCCCATGGCAGATTATGGGCCTGGCAGCAGCAATGGGAGGCCCGTAATCTGCCAGCACCCTATGACAAAATGGAACACACCAGCAGTGTGAGGAGACCTGAAAGTGGCAAATGGCAGAGTGTGGTGATGGAGACAGCAGCAATGGGAGGCCGTACAGGGACCCATGAGAGACTCTGGACCTGGCAGCAGCATGAGGAGGCGGTACGGGGGGCCCATGGCAGATTACGGGCCTGGCAGCAGCAATGGGAGGCCCGTAATCTGCCAGCACCCTATGACAAAATGGAAACACACCAGCAGTGTGAGGAGACCTGAAAGTGGCACATGGCAGAGTGTGGCGATGGAGACAGCAGCAATGGGAGGCCGTACAGGGACCCATGACAGATTACGGGCCTGGCAGCAGCATGAGGAGGCGGTACAGGGGCCCATGGCAGATTACGGGCCTGGCAGCAGCAATGGGAGGCTCGTAATCTGCCAGCACCCTATGACAAAATGGAACCCACCAGCAGTGTGAGGAGACCTGAAAGTGGCACATGGCAGAGTGTGGCGATGGAGACAGCAGCAATGGGAGGCCGTACAGGGACCCATGAGAGACTCTGGACCTGGCAGCAGCATGAGGAGGCGGTACGGGTGCCCATGGCAGATTACGGGCCTGGCAGCAGCAATGGGAGGCCCGTAATCTGCCAGCACCCTATGACAAAATGGAACCCACCAGCAGTGTGAGGAGACCTGAAAGTGGCACATGGCAGAGTGTGGCGATGGAGACAGCAAGCAGCAATGGGAGGCCGTACAGGGACCCATGAGACACTGTGGACCTGGAGGGCAGCAGCATGAGGAGGCGGTACGGGGGCCCATGGCAGATTATGGGCCTGGAGCAGCAATGGGAGGCCCGTAATCTGCCAGCACCCTATGACCAAAATGGAACCCACCCAGCAGTGTGAGGAGACCTGAAAGTGGCACATGGCAGAGTGTGGCGATGGAGACAGCAGCAATGGGAGGCCGTACAGGGACCCATGACACACTCTGGACCTGGCAGCAGCATGAGGAGGCGGTACAGGGGCCCATGGCAGATTACGGGCCTGGCAGCAGCAATGGGAGGCCCGTAATCTGCCAGCACCCTATGACAAAATGGACAGCACCAGCAGTGTGAGGAGACCTGAAAGTGGCACATGTTTGGGGCATGATTCATGGCGGATTTAGTCAGTTGTGTCAGGAAACTGGTGGTTTGAAATCCAGACTCCAAATCCACGCCTGATTCATTTTCACAAACGTGAGTCTCTCCACACTTTGGGTGGACAGTCGTGTCCTCCGCGGAGTTACAATACCTCCTGCCGCACTAAACACGCGCTCCGATGCCACGCTACTGGCCAGGCATGACAGCCTTTCAAGGGCAAATTCAGCTAGTTGGGGCCAAAGGTCAAGTTTCGTTGCCCAGTAGTCAAGGGGGATTGTCTACCTCGGTTGGCAGGGTGCTGTCCAAGTAGGCCCAAGCCTGTTGTTTGAGGTCCTGCTCCAGGTTCACCTGATGCTGCTGCTGCTGCGGCTGGTTAGTAGTTTCCTCACTGCGCTGGTGAAGAAAGCTACTCATCATCGACTGCAGACTGAGGCAGCCGCTGCTGGTGGAGCTGCCACTGCTCCTACCACCCCACCCCTCCCCTGCTGCCATGGCAGCGGAACGCGAGCGCACAGGGCCCACAGTGTCTGAGGATGGACGTTGGCGCAGAAAGGCAGAGACCAACTGGCTACATAGGTGGTTTTTATAGTACGTTATTTTGGCCTCCCTCTCAGCAGGTGTGAAAAAGACCACCATTTTTTGAACGGTAGCGAGGGTCCAACAAGGTGGACAGCCAAAAGTCATCCCTCTGTCTGATGGTTATTATTCGGCTGTCGCTACGCAAGCAACCGAGCATGCTATGGGCCATTTGTGCCAAGGAATGCCAGCATGAGGAGGCGGTACGGGGGCCCATGGCAGATTACGGGCCTGGCAGCAGCAATGGGAGGCCCGTAATCTGCCAGCACCCTATGACAAAATGGAACCCACCAGCAGTGTGAGGAGACCTGAAAGTGGCACATGGCAGAGTGTGGCGATGGAGACAGCAGCAATGGGAGGCCGTACAGGGACCCATGAGACACTGTGGACCTGGCAGCAGCATGAGGAGGGTGGTACAGGGGCCCATGGCAGATTACAGGCCTGGCAGCAGCAATGGGAGGCCCGTAATCTGCCAGCACCCTATGACAAAATGGACAGCACCAGCAGTGTTGAGGAGACCTGAAAGTGGCACATGGCAGAGTGTGGCGATGGAGACAGCAGCAATGGGAAGGCCGTACAGGGACCCATGACGTACCACTCTGGACCTGGCAGCAGCATGAGGAGGCGGTACATGGGGCCCATGGCATGATTACGGGGCCTGGCAGCAGGCAATGGGAGGCCCGGTAATCGGGGCCAGCACCCTATGAAAAAATGGAACAGCACCAGCAGGTGCGTGTGACACGTGGGACCTGAAAGTGTCACATGGCAAGCGTGTGGGCTGGAGACAGCTAATGGGAGGCCGTACAGGGAACCCATGCGAGATTAACGGGGACCTGGCGAGCAGCATGAGGAGTCTCGGTTAGGGGGCCATGGCAGATTAGCGGGGCTCCTGGCAGCAGCAATGGGAGGCGTACAACTGCCAGCACCAGTATGACAAAAAATGGAACACCAGCAGTGTGAGGAGACCTGACAGTGGCATGGCAGGTGTGGCGATTGGAGACTCAGACTGGGAGCTTCACATGGAGATTGGACCTGGCCAGTACGGTATAAGGGACCGCCCATGAGAGAGGCGGCCTCTTGGACCTGACAAACATTAGCGCGCAGAGCATGAGGAGGCTGGTACATGGGGTCCCAGCATGATGGGCAGATTAGGGCGCTGGCTCAGGGGCCTAAGCATATGGGAGGCCCGTAATCTGCCTCTGCACCCTATGACAAAAATTCATGAAACACACCAGCAGTGTGTGAGGAGGACTGAAAGTGGCACATGGGCCGAGTGTGCGATGGGAGAGAGCAGCAATGGGAGGGGTACAGGGACCGAATGAGAGGACTCTGGGACCTTGCAGCAGCATGAGGAGGCAGGTATAGGGGGCCCTCATGGAGATTTTTTTTATATTAGGGGCCTGGCAGCAGCTATGTGGGCCCGTATCTGCCTGCCACCCTATGACAAAAAATGTACACTACCAGCTGTGGTGTGAGGAGACACTGAAAGTGGCACATGGCAGAGTGTTGGGATGGAGGACAGCAGCGCAAGGGAGGCCGTCAGGGACCCATGAAGAATCGGGACCCGGGGAGCAAAGAGGAGGGGGACAAGGGGGCCCCTGGCAGGTTACGGGGCCCGGCAGCAGCAAAGGGAGGCCCTAATCTGCCAGCACCCCATGACAAAATGGAACACACCAGCAGTGTGAGGGCTGAAAAGGGGACAGGGAGGTGTGGCGATGGAGACAGCAGCAATGGGGGCGTACAGGAACCCCCTGACAGATTTCGGGCCTGGCAGCAGCATGAGGAGGGGTTTTCAGGGGCC